AAAAAAAAAAAAACAAAACAAAAACAAAAAAACACACACACACGAAGGAAAATACAAAATGTCTGATAATCGAATAATCCAGAAACGACTGGGTTTCAAATCATCATGGAATATGAATTCATTAAGAAACCATTAGTCAAACCCATCAACACCTAGTTAACATTATGGTTGTCATATATACAACAGGATCATGATCACCCATGAACTATTAAACTACCCATRCATGTATGTAGGTATTTATTGAACTATAACAGACATTCTTGATTGTTAGTTTGAGCCATTCATTAAAAATCGCAAATATCAGTCATCACTTGCGCAGTGTGAATGAAATTATGTCAGTGAAATTGAACTTTCACTATTAAACTTATCTGCATTATCCTTAGGGACCGGTGATTATATTACCGACGTTCTCTGGAGCCTTGGCTTGTTACTTGAGGCTCTTGGTGCGACAACGACTTTCGAAATAGGTGAATATAGCTGCAGTTTCCAGTGAACAAAGCTTGTATATTCAAAACAGCGTAATGCGGAATAAATCAGCCTACGATAGCTTCAAGAGTTTGGACAAGTTATAGACAAACAAATCACGAAAACTAAAGAAACGTCATGCTGATGCAAGAGGTTTTTTGATTTGAATAACCACATGTGGATGCGAGGATATGAACTGTTTATAAGATATTATTGATTAAAAGCCATGCTGAGCTTTAGATTTCATATATAGATAGGTGTGTTAGAAGAGTTATCTGGAGTTTTGTCATTTTAAGCTCGGCATGTGTCTTTATTTAAAAGAAAAAGAACTAGCTTGTTTAATATCTCCAGTAACGGGAAATGGTTGTCAACTTTTTCTATTAGTTTATTTAATTTTAGATTTTTTTCGCTTTGCGTATGATCAAAGCAAATGCAGACGAAAATATACATAGTAATTTTCATTTTCTTTTTCTTTTACTGTTGTTATTCCTTTGCTTCTTTCTATTTTCTCATTTCTTTCTTTATTTCTTTCTTCTATCTTTTCGCAGCGTGCGCGAGAATAATTTAAGGCTAGAATGGTATCCAAGGCACCAATCAAAAAGGGAGAGAAGAATCTGAAACCCCTTTTATTGTGCATAGTCATAGTAATTCAGTTCAATATTTGGGACCCCTTCTCTCTCTCCAGACACACGTCCATGTAGAAAAACCATAAACAACTAAACTAAAAAAGAGATTTCATTTTGATTCTTCATCTGATAATTTTTTCAAGATATCAATTCTTTTTCATTTGTTACCGATCTGTTAAGTGCAGCCATTAAATCTACAAGTACGTTTAAATGGATTCTACATAAGTGCTCGATTAACCTTAAAAGCGACATTCGGTAATGACTTGTAATTCAATTTTTAGAAATGTGTCATATACATTGAAGTACTAATCTATAGGTGGATGTGATGGGCTATAAACATTGCCATTTTCGTGTTGATGTGCCAACCATTTCAACAATAGATTTTGTGACTTTGCTTTATTGGATTGTCCAATAGCTTTCTGGTTGGCAGTTTGAATAACAATCAACCGAAACCAATTCGTCATTGTACAACCCAATTATTAAAAAAATAAAAAAAATTTTAAAAATGGAGATGAGGAATACTCCAGTTTCGGATTCTCTGTTGCTGAGGCTTAGCTTTGACTTCGTTTATAATATTCATGTGTTTCAGTGAAGGTCCGTAGAATTTCAATGCGTTTGTATTGTTGAAGTTGTGCATTCTTTACTTTACCTTGGTATTTGTGAATATTTAGACACAGAAATGAGTAAATGAGTCTGTGATCAAGGAACACAGTGGTAATTCGGAACTCGAAAAAGGTCTTTTGTCAAAGAAAATAAGTGAGGGAATAACCTGCGTTGCTCGACGGTCTGCGGAGTTTCGAATTAGGAAGATCAGGTGTTTCTCTCATCCTTCTTCGCAACACCGCAGAACGCCAAGCAACGCAGGCTAGTGAGTGAGTGAGTGAATTGATGTTTACATGGTGGAGTTAGCGAAAAAATGAGAGAGAATCGGTTGGTTGGTGAGTCAGTCTGTAACAATCTAGTTAGTATAGTTAGTTGAAATGGACAAATACTAAATGAATTGGCCATGAAATAACCATTAAATGGACGTTCGAACAGATGGACGGACGCACGGAGAGAGAATCGGAGAATAAAGTGAGAATTCACGAAAGGTTTAATCCGGCATCAAGGTGTCTTACTGTGCATCCTTTTAATTTTTGGACATAAATAGATCGAGCGAATCATATTTCCGTCCGCATATTTAAAAAAGTAATTAAAGGCATTATCTGAGATATGAAGCACACTAGGTGTCATACGACCAAATATTAGAAAAAAGCCTGGAAAAAGCAGATATCAGAAAGAAAATGAAGAGAGCTCGAATTAAAGAAAGATATTTATACTGAAAATCRACAAAAACTGACGTGTTTCTCGCCATTATAAATAGAAACGGGAACTGGAAGTCGTTTTCCACTTGCTTTATTTTTCTTATCTAAAGTACTGACTTCCTAGTTCATGTAAACATCTTTAAAAGTTGGTCTTAACGCGCATGTGGATTGTGAGTCTAAATCCTGTAGACTTTTTTGTTTTTAATTTCCCTCGAGTGTTCGTATTAGCAGCTGTAGTTACTATTCTATATTTGTTATTCTCGTCGATGCGCGCACTGTCGGTGATAGCGGAAACCGGATGATATCCTGATTGTAATTATTTTATTTTAATTGTCGTTTCAGAAATTCACTGATGCTGTAAATCACCAGATAAACACCGCGTCCAAAAAAGTTTGATCGTGTTAATTCCAAAATCATGGAAGGGAAGTTTACTACTTTCGATCAGTCTAATTTGACAAATTGTACTGTTATATCCAGTATTGAAGGCAGTCGTTGTATCGTAGCTCTCTATACTCTGTTGAATGCTCTATCAGGGGTATTGTCAGTGGCTGGGAATTCATTAGTTCTCGTTGCTGTTTACAAGACTCACAGCTTACAAGTCGTATCCAACTTCTTCATATGTTCTCTTGCTATGGCAGACCTTATGGTAGGACTTTTAGCAAATCCAATGAATATCGTCATGACCAATCTAGCTTTATGGGGAACAGACAAGCCTTTAGACAAGGCTAGTGACTTTTTATGGCCGCAGACTTTGATAACTACAACTTTTAATCTAACTGCTATTAGCATTGATCGACTTATTGCAGTCAAATGGCCTCTGAGGTACAGTAGTTTGATGACCACCAGAGTCTCGTATTTTGTCATTGCGTTTGTCTGGATCAGCTCCATACTTTTTGGTCTCCCTGTATTTATCTTAGAGTCAAGCCTTCTTGTTCCTTACTGGGCTGTATGCTCAGTCTTAACTTTCTTTATTCCTCTGACTTCAATCTTTTACTGCTATATAAAAATCCTCAGAATCTCACACCGACAACTACGAACAATGGCGTTTTCAACAAACGGCTCTTTCCAAGTGAATCTGGAGGAAAAGCTCCAAGCCCTTAAGAACCGTAAAGCTGTATTTACTCTCAGTGCTATCACAACGGTATTTTTAATATCCTTTTTCCCCAGTCTGATTTGTTCAATTTTATTCGCCATTACACAAGACTGCAAGAGGAAGAACGTTATTCTCGATTGCTGGATCTGGTTTATTTTCCTAATGTACACAAGTTCTTTTTTCAATCCGTTGATTTATGGACTCAGAAGCAAAGGTTTCCGTACTGTTTTCAGACRTTTTTTACATCAAATTTTTACACCACATTTTAAACGGTTTTAGCGAGTAAAATATGTGATAACCTAGGTATATCTTTATTCATTCAATACTTTTTTTAACGAAAAACTTTTACCTTTGTCTTGAAATCTGATATTGATTTATTCTTAAACTTTTTGACTTCCTTTCACCATTTTAAATCAAATTCAAAGCTGTATTCTTCAAGATGTCTGATCCGGTTTTAATTTAGTCGAAACAAAAGTTTATTAAGACTAACTCTTTGATGTTATCTGTGATTTTTAATTTGACAAATAGGATGGAAGTTTGCCGGGTTGATTTACCGCTTAGCGCACTCAGTTTGTCATATTGGTACAGACTGATCGTGTAATGGATGAAAAAACAAATGAACACTTCAATATCAGTCCTTGTTCCAGCTGCCCTATTGAACAAGTCCAGAATCCTATACGGTTCTTCGAACTATTTTATAGGGCAGGATGAGGTGGAAGGAAGTCTCCCCCACAGCCGCTTTCAGTGTCGTCACGCAACGCTTTCTCCCCTCAGGGAGAAAGCTTTGCGTGACCACACTGAAAGCGGCTGTGGGGGAGACTAGGTACTTACAGATCAAATTGGAATTTTGTTAGCTTAGTGCAGAAGGAAAATCGTGAACCTGCGCGGTCGGAGAAAAACCAAAAAAGAAAAAGAAAAGAAAAGAAAAAGAAAAATTTATCGGGATGCAATCGGTAAAATTGCATAAGGTTTGACTTGCATTGTTCCTTAGTATGTACAGTCTTCCTCAGTACAATGTGCTCTTAATTAAAGAATACTATTGAACAACCTCGAGGCTATGATAAGCAAAGGCGAACTCGAAATKGGAGTATTTGCCATGTGCCAAGGGATTGAGTATGAATCAACATTGCTATTATCAATTTTTATCAATTCATTTTCAGAAAAGAAAAAACATTCAGTAAGGCACATATGACAAGGTTTTTAAAAATCGTTTCATGTCCGCAAATTATATTTTAGTACAAGTTTAGGCTCGTTATAATACTATAGGTCTTTGACGGAAAACGAAATCCAAAGTTAGAGGAAATATTTATTCCTTTCTTGAACTATTTCAGTGTTTTTACGTATGGACAGTTAGTAGAATTTAACAACAAATGATTTTTATGAGCCATACTAGGTTTGAATCGATAACGCGCGTTTCATGCCCACAAATTTTGTATTTTAAATCCAATGTTAGAGAAAATATTCATTCCTTTCTTGTGCGAAACGTGCGTTTTCCCCCTGAACTCATGAATATGCATTTTAATTGAAAGCTTCAGAAGCTGCAAAGAAAACTAGAGAGGCGAGATGAAACGTCTTTTATTTTGACTTTTGTTTTCTATAGTAGTTTCCGTTGTTAGGCGGTAGGTCCAACTCAGTGTGGTAAGAATTTGTTATTTAACCACAATAAAAACTAGTCGTTGCATAGTACAAGTGAAAGTAAGAACTGCTACGAGTTCGCCGGAATAAGTGACGCAGGCAATGTGATTGCTTCTAGTCCCTAGGGAGGGGGAGGGTACTCTTGCCCGTTTAGGGTAGGGATGTGCCGCTGAGCCCACTGAATCCTGACTCTGTTCCAGAGTAAAATTGCTGAAATTCATACCCTGTTTCAGAGCAAGATCGCTGAAAATCATACCGTGTTCCAGAGAGTAGAGAGCGTGATTTCATATATCCTGTTCCATAGTAGAATCGCTGAATACCATACCCTGTTTGGCGGCACGTACCCGTATAGCGAATATAGGAAAGTACCCCCTCCCCCCCCTCGGGCTTCTAGTAGCAATACCACGATTGAACCCGGTCCAGTTTGAAGCATTTGGCGCATACTGATCCTACTCCACTAGTTTTGGAGAGCATTTCTCGGCAATAGGACGTTTGCATGATGGCGTCATTTGACTCCCACTACCATAATGCTTCGCGGATTTTCTTTCTTATTCAAATTTGTATTTCCCTATGAGAATAGTAAGACAATTGGTGCTAATTAACTGAATAAAARAAAGTGTGCAAGGGAGTCTGGTAGTAGAGGTCAGTGACGCCATCATGCAAACATCCTATTGTGGAGTGACTGCAAAAAGAAGAGGGGGAGAAGGAGAAAAATAATTTTAAAGTTGTGCTCATTGAGATTGAAACAATATCCACGTGAGGTCTGAACGGCGGCTGAATATCAATCAATATAATTGGCTGTTGTTTTGAATACTTGGGTTACCTCGTACAACATTACAATAACTTTGACATTTGACATATAAGCCGTAATCAGAAGCCCCATTTAGTTCAGATGCCCAGTGGCTTACTGCAGTGGTCATCAGTTCAAGAAGCGAAAGAAACAAGTTGGCTCAATATGCATTTGCCCCTGGTTTTATTTCTGATGGCTGAGATTCTTATTTGTGAATTTATCACAGCTAAACCAAGGACTGATCTTGACTTGCTTAACCGTGATGATAGTGAAGGTAATTGGGTTTTACCGGGTCTACATAAACTTTACTTGTCTCAATAAATAGCTGATAGCATTTTAAAGGCATAATCGTTGATATAGGCTCTCTCTCGGTATCTGCCGTAGGGGACAGGATTATTTAAAATAAGATCTGCATCAATTTAGATTTGTATCAGTTGCCATATCGGGTAATATGTAGCATGAACGCAGGCTAGCAATAAGCTGATTATTCACCAGAATGAAAGGTCAAGAAAAAACCGTTGATGAGACTCTTAACCGCCAAAATCAGTAGCGCGCAGCATGATCCTCAGTCAAATGTCTCAATTTTTTTCATGTTCAAAAATTGATTCTGTTAGTCTCAATTCTGCGGTATGATCTGGGTTACTTTACTCATTACGAAAAAATAAAGCTCATTTGATGCCGACTACTAAACTTTTTTTCTTCAAAACTTGATTATTTTATTTGCATGTTGTAATGTTGTCCTGCAGAAAATGAACAAAATTGTCAGCGATCGAGTTTTTTTAATCATGGATTTGCTCCGAAAATGACGTAGATGGTTAACCCGTACACGACGATACCACCATGGATTTACTAGAAAATGCATGATTAATTAGTTGTACAGTCTGAACTGACATCAAGTTTCACTACTTCTTTCGTAATTATGACAAACCGGAAAACTCACACACACGAATTAAATTTTTCAAAATTGTATTCAAAAGTTACGGCCAGAATTGTTGTACAAATCAGCGGTGAAAATTGATAAGTATATTTGAAGTCTATAAGTTGCTAGGTGCGAATGCAATTCAGCAATCAAGTACAGCAGTTGAAAAGACGTGGTAGATTTGTTGACGGGCCAGACAAACTTTATTAGCTTAATGCGACATAATCAAATATATTAAAAATTAAAGTGTACACATGCAATGTGTGTTCAGGGGCTGGCTGGGCCTTTTCGGCACGGAGCCGGAGAAGGAGTTTAAACGGAAAGGTTCGTCCACTTAAGAAAATGTGCTGACTTATGAATGGTAATTCTGTCACTCTTTATGAAATTTTACCCATGTTTTTATAGAGCCTCAACAAGTGAGCGAGGAACCTGAAATCGAGGAGATTGCAAACAGAGGTAACACCACTTTTGATCTTAAAAATATCAAACACTATATTAATTTATTAATAATAATAATGATTAAATTTGAGTACTGAGAGGAATTCTTGGGGAGGAAAAATTACCAGTTGAATTGCAACTTGGACGAGAATCGGTCAAAAGTTGCAGCGATCCAAAACTTTCCTAAACTAATCTTTAAAGACGGGGTCGTCTTAACCATCAAAAAGACGAGTAAACGAGTCTCCTGAGATAACTAAAGAAGACCCTTGATAAAGAAAATGAAAATATAGACAGAAAAAAAACCCCAGTTAGATYGGAACTGAATGTCATTCCTTTAGTGGAGTTTTTGCGTTTCCCAGTGAAATTTCCATTGTTTTACAGAATACGAGACAGTGCACGGCAAAATTCTGGCTGTAAACATGGTTCACTTGGAGAAAAGGAAAAAGGCTCTGAGAGATCAGGAAACAAAAAGATCGAAGGAACCGGATGTTTTTGAGAACATCGAGAAGGATAACGAAGGTAAATTAGTTCTGGAAAGGTACTCCGGTGCCCCCTTTTTTGCCCAGGATTTTCTTCAAAATTAGGAGAAGCTAGTGGTATATGTAAGATTAATATTTGTTTTCACTAAATGACTCAAAACTCTAAATATATACGCCTCCCCTACAAAGTAAATTTGAGAGGACCAATCTGGCACCATAGAGCCATTTTGGCTTTTTCAAAGTAGTGCTATTTTAGCCTAGGCCAGGGCCAAAATAGAACAATGCCGTTTTGGCCCCACAGAAGCTATTTTGATATGGGTCTATATATGTACTGTTTTGGCCCCCTCAACTAGGCCCAATTAGGGGGAAAATCCATATGAGGGGCTAAAACAGTCCCAAAACCAGAGCTAAAAAATTGCCCCTACCGGTTTTGCCAAAATAGCCCTACTTTAAGGAGGCCACTATAGGATCAACATTTTGACCCCATTTATGGGACCAAAACCGCCCTATCCGATTTACTGTGTTTATTTACCTTCTAGCTACTCATTTTTAGATGCATGTGATCYACTTATATTTCTAACATTGCAATAATATTGGTGCCATCTATTAGAATTCAAAAACATTTTGGTTGTCAGGGCAGTGTAATACTACGTTACGCTTTTAATTGTACCACCGTAAGAGAACGAGTAAGACTTACTATTATTGTACTAAATACACAGCCCATCATATAGAAGGTCTGTATCAAGGAGATATCATTGTAGACGAAGATCTGGAGGAACTCCTTCATTTACCGAACCAAACGAGAACGAAAAGAAATGCCGTTCGATCGAGAAAACGACTGTGGCAATCAAGGATAATCCCCTACAGACTCTCACCTGATATGAGTAAGTATAATTCGATAGAAGGTACCTAGTCCATGTCTTACTGATCTAGTATATGTATTTAGCAAAGCATATTCCCAGTGAAGGAGACTGAGGTTGTTTGAAAAGATTCAGTAGAATACTGACCGATCACAATATAGTTGCTACCCTGACCACCTTAAAGCCCCAGGCTTTGAATGGAAGAAAATCATGCGAGATTTGGGATTTTGATTGAAGCCATAGCCAAGTGTGGATACTATAAGGAGTGGGCTATCATAGCTTTCCAATTGGAAACGAAAGTATGATTTTAGAAAATGGTTTCTGACAATGCATTGTAGACGGAAACCCCTCAAAAACGGCTGCTTGTCTCATGATATAGGTATTTCTCAATAGAAGTAGTACGGACACACAGTATCGAGTATTTCAGCAGGTCTCTAAAGGGGAGGGAGGGCTATAAATTTACCGGTTTCGGGTTATCATCACTTACTGATCGATAAAATCCACTTCTTTGACCTTTGTCTTTTCTGTCTTGCTTTTCTAGTGCATATCAAGAATAACTTGTTCATAGCTTTCGCTGAGTTCCACAAACACACATGTCTTCGTTTCGTGCCTTATCGACCTGGTGTACATGGAAACTATATCTACTTCAAAAGGAATGCTGGGTAAGAATCTGGCTTCAAATTTCGTTGAAACTATAATCTTTTTGATTTGCCTTCGTATCTTTATTAAATATTAAATTAATATTAAGAATTGTTTTTGTGTTCTGTGTTACTCAGATGCTCTTCTAAGATAGGGAGGCATTACGTTTCACCTGTTGGCCAGCCCGTCTCTCTTGGTAGTGGATGCAACTTCCCTGGCATCATTATACACGAACTGTTACATGCTTTAGGTAATATACGTTAATTGTATAGTACAGTACTACATATATGACTAAGTCGTAGGCACTGAAGGAATCTTGATTAATAACTTCTACTCCTTTATGTTCTCCAGGTTTTTGGCACGAACAGGCTCGTGCAGACCGCGATAAATTTGTGTCCATCAAATGGGAGAATATCCAAACAGGTAAGGCCAGGGGCGGATCAAGGGGGCGTTCATTGTCAGTCAGTGAACACCACTCCCTGCCCAAGATTTAATTTTTCATGAAAACTATTTTCTCATGGAATGTTACATAGAGAACTGATCCCAGAATGTATGTGAGAGGTTTACGTTCATACCCAATACTTTGCCTTTGAAACAGGATTCGTCTAGTAGATCTTTTTTATTTTACAATGAAGCAGAATTAGACTGGAGAGGCGTGCATGGACCAAATGAATATAGATTACGAATATCAGTCCATCATGGTCTCCAATTAAATTTCGGTGCCTTCTTAAGCTTACGTTTTGTTTTACAGGTTTTCAAGATCAGTTTGACAAATACAACTGGGAAACCATAGACAATCTGAATAAAGATTACGATTACCAGTCAATCATGCATTACGATCGCTATGCATTCTCCAAAAATGGAAAGCCTACCATTGTAGCTGTTGGAAACGAAAATATGGAATTTGGAACTAAGAACAAACGTTTGAGTACAAAAGACATCATTGAAATTAACGCTTTGTACGACTGCCAAAGTAAGTCCATACTTGACATGCAAAAAAAAATTTTTTAAATTGCACGCTTTGAGCAATTTCGCATTGATTATCAATTCGATCTGTGCTGTGAAGGTGCCACGCATTGTGACGCTGTTAAAGCTGTCTTACGAAATTCCACTCTAAAGTCGTCTAGCTACCTTAATGTTTCTCCGGTTCTTGGGGGAAGTTATAAGCTTCAGGAGAAGAGCATTAACTGAGTTACCCCTGATCTTACTGCCTGAATATCAGGTTATCTAGCAACAGACTTTGAGAGGGCGAGAAAGGTCCCAAAGTCTCGCTGACCTATTTCGACCTTGTTTGCGGTTTTCAGGTAAACGTTACGGCTGGACCAAATGGTCTGAGTTCACGCCATGTGATGAACATTGTTACAAGTCAAGAAATCGTTATTGCTATCATAGTGGGAATCCTAAAAGTTGTGGAGGCAATGTTAATGTGTACGGTATCGAGAAAGAAAGACTAAAGTGTTCAGTAAGGGAGTGTCTGGGTAAGTAAATAAAGCGGCACAAAATGCAATGCTGGACCTGATAAAATTCAGTTGTAATATGTATCTGAGAATACGTCTAGCATCGATTTGTAACTGACATTCTTGTCACTAAAGCGAAATCGACGGCCCTTTACGCGAAACAAAGTTATTTTTGTTGTCCACACTATTATAGTTATTATCAGAAAAAAGAAAGGCAAGAAAACAGAGCACTTATGAAAGTGATTGATGCACTAAACAGTTAATGGTTGGGGGCATTTCATTGGGCATCGTCATGATTATCCTCTTAACTTTTTATTTAAGCCAATGAATTTTTTTCAGCCAAGAATGCAATTAATGGTCATTGGGGTAACTGGGGTGCATGGACTACTTGCAGTGCTAGTTGTGATGAAGGAGCGCGAAGCCGAACAAGGCAGTGTAACAACCCGGCTCCTTCTAAGTATGGTAAACCTTGTACAGGAAAAGCAAAAGAGGATGAACTGTGTACCGTAGGGAGGTGCCATTTAGGTACGCATCACATTAATATTGACTTTCACTAGATTCGTAGAGGCGTGCAAGCGTCATAACTTTGAAATCCCTCTCCGCCCACCATTCCCGTTTGACTTCGCCCTCCGCACTGACTAAACTAAAAAGACCATCAGGTCAATTCCTAACACACTGATGATTTAAGGATTGTCAGTAACGTAGGTGCACACAGTATTCATTTTCCGGGACGTTAAATTGCTTTCCTTCCTTTATCCTTAATATCGAAATTCTAAACAGGAGATCGAAAAGAGTAAAAGAGGCAGAGGGATTACAAAAATTTTCAGTGTTACTGAAGTACATTTTCATAATTCTCACAGCAAAAGATGTTCATTTTCCCACTTATTTTTGAATAATTCTCTCCTGGATTTACGATTGTGGCTAACAATTCAAACCTTTGTCCCTTAATCCGTGTTCGAATTTTGATAAGTGCATTGTTTTCTTTCACATGTGCCGTATTTATTATAATTATTACCAGTGGTGTGAATACTTAGTAATCCTCATTTTTTAAATTCAAGATGATTATGATACAGAGTTTGAGAGTCCAAGTCGTCCTTTTGGAATGTGGAAAAACAATCACGGCATGAAGCTGAAATGGATCAGACACCAGTTTGTTACTAAAACCATGAATACTGGTCCGTTTTATGACCACACCAAAGGAACAGGTAACAGGTCTCGGAGCCTCGGCTTAATTTATTGTGCTTTTGAGCAATGAATTTGGTATTGAATGGAGAGTAAGTACAATCCAGTGGGACATAAGTTTCTCTTTTAGTAGGGTGTCCATATCAAAAGGATCCATTTAAGAGTAATTGCAATCCGTTGTGACATAAGTTTTCTTATTAGCAGAGTGTCCATATTACGAATGTTCATTTAAGAGTAATTGCAATTCAGTGGAACACATGCAAGCAAGTGTCATGCAGCAATAGCAAGTCTCGACTGTATTCATTGACACATACTTTCATTTTCAAGCTAAAGGTCATTATTTGTACATGGAGTCATCTTATCCTGCTAAACCTGGCGACAAGGCGATACTGACAAGCACGACCCTGACAGCCAAAACAAAATTCCATTGCCTTAAGTTTTACTATAYCATGTATGGGCATACGATGGGATCTCTGGAAGTTAAACTGTATCGACCAGGATTACCAACAAAAACTATATTTTACAAGGGAGGTAATCAGGGCAAACCATGGCATCTTGGGACGGCAACTATTGAAGCAAAGACGACGTTTGCTGTAAGTTAAACAGTCTATATATGCTTCTTATTCGTTTTCTAACGAGTGATGCTGTTTAGTATTTCCAATTCTTGAATTAATTTCTTCGAGAATTTGATTTTCCTTGATTGGTGTTGTTTACTTTTAATAGACCTCTTCGGCTCTGACGTAATGTTTTTCCATTGTTTAAGGTTTGCGCTCGCTTGCACATGAGAAAACGCATGAATATGGATACAGCTCAAACAAAGAATCTTATTCTCAAGGGAATGACACGTGGTCTGAAATGGGAAAAGATTACCTAATGCCGAAGAGGTGTAATGGTTTGGTTTACTTGCTCGATAAATCAAAAAGCATAGGCGTAGTTACTAGCAAAACTACAGAGAAAGAAAGAAAGAAAGAATGAATGAAAGAATGAATGAATGAATGAA